CAATAATAATAAGTCATATCTCAAGCAAGTTGTTTTCATAGTAGAACTCAGCTGATAGAAAAGTTAACTGTGAGCATTTCATGTATTTATTTAATCAGCAGCAGATATTTTTCAGTTCTGTCACTTTTTGTTTTGTTTTGAGTCCAGGACAACACGGCTGCAGCAAACACTGCTGACTCCTCCCTACCAGAGAAGAGACTCATTTCTTTTTCTTGGACTAGTGATGTTCCATACGGCATATTTTCTTTCCAATACTGATACAGAGTAAAATGTGGCTGGTATCGGCGATACTTATCCGATACTGATACTTTGTGGTAATACACATAATGTGTCTGGTAAATCTTAAAAAGTAGTGTTTTTCAAATAACCGCTTTATAAATAAAATATGACATAGTACTGTATTTATTAATTTAAGTCTTTCTAACCCTAAATTTGTTTAGCACAATTTAAAATTCTTATTATAAAGAAATATAATAACTTTTGAATAATGAACAAAAGTGAGAGAAAAAAAACTTTCTAAAAGTTGTTACTTTGTACATTTTGTAGCATTTGTGGGTTTGGCGAGAAGGTCTTTGGCCAGAACTAACGCTATTTGGGGGGACATGGCACAAAAAGGTTTTGGAACCCCTCATCTAAAATGTAATTACAGTCAGACGAAGCAGATTTTATGTTAAAATGACCTGCCATACATCTAGACTGAGTGACTTAAGTACATGCCACTGTGCTTATGCATTACCCAAGAGGAATAAAAAGTAGTTCCCTCCAACCACATATGATTTAAACAACATTTGAACTGCTTAGTTATTTTCCTGTTAATGATATACATTATGTAAAATAACTGAAGTATCAAAGTATCCATATTTTGATTTTAGTATTGATTCTAGAGCTTAAAGTTCTGGTATCAGTAGTATCGATATTTCAGTATCAATCTGCACATCACTATCTTGGACTAAAGTGGTACCAAACTGTGACTGAGGCAGACCGTTACACCCATAGTTCATAAATAAGAAGTAAAACCTGACACCGCCGTAGGAAGACCTAGAAGCTGCTGGCTAATGCTAACAGAGGGGAGTGACAGGTGAGTTGTTAAAACTCTGTTTCATTAGCTGGCAGCATGACTCAGCAGTTTACGCTACATTAAGAATGGTTAAAGTTGGCGATAAGATGGAGCTGAGATGGAGATGGAGTGTTTTTACCATCAGTTTAACGACATTAATGCATTTTGTAGCTAAACTGGATAAAATAAAGAGGAACTGCAACAGCAGAGGTAGACAGACATGGAGCAGCACCTACGTACAGATTGACCTTGCGGGTCAGGTGCCAGGCTGACCTTGGCCAGGCCTTTGGGCATGTGCACTGTGCGTCCATGGTTTACACCGGCTGCTCAAAATGTCAGCGCGGCGCTCCTTTCAAAACCAATCACACACTGAGCTCTGCCACCACCTGTGACAGGGAGAGCAAGACACACAGTGTAGGGACACAGAGCCTGACACAACTAGCACCATGTACACACTGAGTCTGACCTACAGCTAACAAACATGTCAGCCTTAGGGGCCTGTCTCGTGCCAAGTCAACATTAATACTTGAAATGCAGAACATCTAAAGCAGCTAATAATTTATAATAACTTTGATTTAGTCTCTCCCACTTCAACGGAGTCTTTGTGATATTAACCCTTTGATGTGCTCTGGCACTTCAGAACACAGCTCATGTGTTGTTGACAGCAAACAGAGCCAAACAACTACAGGACACTGAGCACTTGGTTTCTGGGTGACAATGGGAGGGCACGAAAGGCGAACACTTTTACAATTTCAAGGCTGATTGAGCTTCATTGTAAGAAACGACTGTACAAAAGCTTCTAGTAACTCTGCACAAAAAACAGGATGAAACTAAACGAAAGGTCAAAGAAAACTCGAACACTTACTGCTTTGCCTGCGCCAACGGAGCACAAGATGGTGGAGTCAGGGGAGAAGGCGCTGCAGTAGACCCAGTTCTGATGTCCTCGCAGAACCTTCACCATGTTACCTGCAGCACACAAATGAGCTTTAATGTTCTGACAACTACACAAGTCATCATACAGAACTGAGCAGAACACACATCTGACCAACAAATAATAAAAAGGACATTACAACTAGGGGTCGACCGATATATCAGCCGGCCAATATTTTTGGCCGATATTTGCGTTTTTTTTCTTGTATCGGTATTGACTGATCTGTTCTTTGGGTCACGTGAGCGCAAGTTGCCGCCCCCTCCCTCAGGGAGAGAACAGCTGCTAATGTTATGAGACAGAGTGCTAACAACAACAACAAGGGTGAGTTATGAACTGTAAATGTGTTTTAACTGTCTAATTTAACTGTTTTACCCTCTGTGTCAGAATATGAGGGGAGAGAGAACAGCTGTGTTTTAAGTTTCCTTTCCAGACGGGAGCGCTGCGACATGTTTTACTTTCACTTTCGCACCGCACTGTAATCAGCGTGTCCGCGTTGTTTTTCTTTTTAAAAATGCTGCAGCTGCTCACATGAGGCATAGAAAAAACACCTCTATTGTTCTCCCTGCTGGATTAAAATAAAAAACTCTCTGCCTTTTTTCGTTGTTACGTTTTAGCGAGCGCTGCCGTTCACCACCATGTGAACCAGAAGCTGCTCACATCATGTTTGTTCTGACCGCAGTAAAAAAAAGTCGTGATGCTGGTTCTCTTCGGTGTACATTTCAAACTGTGATCTGAAGTTACTGCCAGCTGTTTTAATTGTACTTTTTGCCCGGTGTAAAAAAACGAGTGCAGACTGAGGCAGAGATGCAACGAGTGCTGTGTGTGTGTGAAGTCCTCACAAAGATAGCAAGATGTATGTGTGTGTCTCTCCTTTTTCTTTCTCTGTGTTCCTCATGTTGGCGCAGAGAAGCACGGATTTGTTTACAAACACGAGTCATGTGATCAGAGGACCATCTGCTGCCCCCTGGTGGTTAGGATGAGGACAGCCTGACCGTCTGTTCAAAAACTGAAAACATTGTTTTAAAATTATTGTTGAAATTGTTTTATTTTTTATTTATTTATTTTGGTGGGGGGTCTATTTTTTTTTAATTTTTTAAAGAAAGGGCTAAAAGAAGAAATCCTGTGTGGCAGCACTTCATACAGCCTGCATCAGACAAGGCTCAGTTAATAAATGTTTTTTGTTTGTTTTGTTTTAAATTAAGACTTGTGTAACATTTATTATCATTCTTATTTTTATCATGTTAATGGAGGAAGAAAAGGCAGTGTCAGCTTCAAGAATCGGCCAAAAAAAATCGGCTTCTCGTATCGGTTAGATTGATGTAAAAAAAAAAAAAAATCGGTATCAGTCTTCGATAAGCTGTATCGTTCGATCTCTAATTACAACACAGCTTCAGTTCAAATGACTTTGGTCCTGGAAGAAGCACCAGGAGGGTTGATGTAAATCACAAAAAACAGAAAAAGAAGTTTTGCTCATGTTTGACAGCTTTATACATCAGGACTGACTGGAAACGTGTACTAAAATAGGTAAAGTCTTCTAATAACAAAACTACCAAAGATGATTAGGGCCACTGGAAAAAAAAATCTGACTTTAATTTGAGACTGACTTTTTCCTAATTTGGAGAAAAAAAAGTCAGAGTTTAAAGTCAGAATTATTGTTATTTTTTTCTGTGGCCCTAATCCGCTTTGGTAGAAAACAGCACAGACTTGCTTTAAAACCTTTTAGTGTTTAAGATTCATCAAAAGGTATATATAAATAAAAACATGTGATGTGTAAAACTGACATTAAAAGGCAACAGTTTACAATACTACAGTTTCATAATATAAACAAACTACAGCTTTTTATACATTTCTTTAAAGCTTTTGTTGCTCTGGACAAATTTTACAAGTGAGAAAAGTGCTTAAAATGACCTCTGACCCTGAAGTCTCATACTGTTGTCCTTAAATATAAAATTCTCCTGAACAGGACGAACACGTCCACAGAGTCAGGTGTCAGCTCTCCTTCAAAGGGAGGTACTTACCATCATCTTTCAGGTCCCACACACGAAGGGTCTTATCTCTGGATGCAGACACCAACATCAGACTGCCATCAGGAGCAAAGGTCAGATCTCTCACAACATCAGTGTGGTCCATCAGGTTCAGCAACAGTTTCCCTGCAGCACAGAGGTCCAATGGTGCAGTTAGGTCCAGATTTATTTGGACAGAGACAACATTTACCTAATGTTGGTTCTGTACTAAACATTTCAGATGCAGGTGAAGTTCAGACTTTCAGCTTTAATTCAGTGTGTTGAACAAATGGCTGCATAGAAATGTGAGGAACTAAAGCAGGTTTTAAACAATCCCTTCATTTATCAGTTTGGCTGGATTTGACCAGTTTGTCTCTGGATACCTCAGAATTCATTCGACTGCTTCTGTCCTGTCACATCATCAATAAACACAGGGACCCAGTGCCACTGGCAGCCATGCATGCCCAAGCCATCACACTGCTCTGCTGTGTTTTACAGATGATGTGGTGCTTTGGATCATGAGCTGTACCACGACTTCACCAGACTTTTCTCTTTCCATCATTCTGGTAGAGGTTGATCTTGGTTTCATCTGTTCAAAGATATTCTTCCAGAACTCTGCTGCTTTTTAGATGTTTTTTTTAAACAAAGTCCAGTCTAGCCTTTTTATTCTTGAGGTTTATGAGTGGCTTGCAGTGTGCAGTGAACCCTCTGTATTTACTTTCTTGCAGTCTTCTATTTATGGTAGATTTGGATATTGATGCGCCTGCATGGAGAGCTCCTTTAAGCACAAATGGCTAATCAGCTCTGACTGAACTTCAACTTCAGAAGTGACATGCTAACAAACAGCATCCATGTTTGGCGGCTTCTGTAAACACCAGGCTGAACGTGACTTCCTGTCGTTTTCTGCTCATGCGGCTTAAATCAGTGCTGGAATCCTTTGTTGTTAGCAGCCCCTCCCCTTCCTGCTGAGTCTGACAGCAGAGGAGAAGCAGGCAGCAAGAGGCAAGAGAGGAAAAGAGAGTTTGTTTTTGCCATGTCTGCGCTGGTCATTTGATACAGTTAAGGCTGGAGCTCACTGGTGCAGTCAAAATTAATCATGTGACACCAGGGCTGAAAAGATACTGGGTTTTGATACCATCCCTCTAACAAGGAGGCTCGAGTCACCTTAATGTGAAAAACCCTGCAGTCAAATCAACCTTTCAGTGGCTCACAGCACGACAGGAATCATCACAGGCTTCCTACAGTTTAAGGCAAGTTAAATTTAAGACTTTTTAATGCCAAGTGAAATCAAATTTAAGACCAATTTCACAATAAACACAAATGACAAATAAACTAAAACTGTGACAGAAACTCATGAATCAAATTATTTGGGGTGGAAGTATTCAAATATTGTTAATAGACCGATTGATTTTATCCATATCTAACGGCTATTTTGTCAAATATAGTAAAAAAAAACAAAAACAAAAAAAATTTTAATTCCTGGAAATCCTTTAACGACCCAAAATTTGGAGTTTTAGGACCCACAGTGGGTTCTCAACCCCAGCTTGCTGTAGATGAAACCTTACAGTGCATGTGACATCAAATGTTTGTAAGAAATATGAATGCATTTTTGTAAAGACAACATTACTAACATATTAGAAACAAATTTCACATTTCTCAGATGGACGGTTTTTGAGATATTTGCATGTGAAATAACAGGAAGTGATGTCAAAAGGGAATATCTGAATGGGAATATTTAAAAAATAAATAAATGATACCATTTTTTTAATATTTGATCCAAATTACAGTCATCCTACTTACAATGTGTTAACATTTTTAAGACCTCTGAAGATTGATTTAAGACCTTTTAAGGCTAATTAAGGCTTTATTTTTGGACTGATGAATTTAAGGCTTTTTAAGGATCCGCGGGAACCCTGCATTATATAAGATTATTTTAAACATAAATGCAACATTTATTCAGCTGCACTGTTGACTGACAAACAAAGATGGTGACAATCAAGTCAAAAGCTTTTAAGACTTTTAATATTTTTCCCTCCATTTTACCACTTTTCTCTGTTTCAAACTAACAAGGCAGAAGAAAGTGTGTCCTCACCAGTGTAAACATCCCAGATCTTGATGCGACCATTGTTCAGGCCCGTAGCCAGCAGTAGCTGGTCCTGCCCAAACTTGAACCGGTGCCATTCAATGTTGACACAGCGACTCTGCTTTTCTGGCACCGAGGAACCGAAGGCCAAGCCCCACACAATGTCACCGCAGTCTATTGTGTGTTCACGGGGCTCACCGGGCACCGGGAGCGTCAGGCTGCCGTCGCTGTTCTGACGGGATAAACGGCGGGGGCTCGATGGGTTGGTGCCCTCCTCACCTTGACCCGCTGAGCTGAAGAAACGACAAGAGACAAAAGTCTTCAAAACAAGTGATGGGTAAATAATGCACATGAAAAAAGACAAAAGTTTATAAATAAATTGGTTGACATCATGTTTTTTCCATTAACCCTGTCTTTTACTAGCTGTGTTTCCATTGCAAATGAGCGCAAAACTTTGTTGATATTCTGTTAATGTAGAAAAACACAGTTTTGCAACTGCAGTGTTTCCATTAAGTAAGAAATGCTATTAAAGTCACGTGAATACGTTTGTTCTCGTGATAAGTTATTACAAACATGGCGGCGATGGATGTAAACACGTAGCATGTTGCTACCACGACACTAGCGCTCATCATCAGAGGAGATGTCGGCGTCTTTTATCGAGGCTTTCCAGAGACAAGTCCCTACTTGGGAGCGGCTACGTATGCTGTGTTTTTGGGAAATTGTAGTCGGTGAGTTTACTATTTTATACTACTTCTGTGATATTACTACTACTTCTACTTCCTGTTACCTTCTTCGTCATCGTCTTTTTCACCAGTAGAAACAGCCGGTTGTTGATCACGTGACTCCTGTGATGCAAAAAGTGTTTCCATTGCAGTTTTTCGAAAAACACCAATTTTGATATGGTCGAAATACCACCTCATCCTAGCGCAAAAACATTTTGTCAAAAAACGTAATTTTTTTTAAATTGGCGTGTTTCTATTGAGCGAATTTTTTTTCGATATTCTAATTTGCACATTTTCATGGTCAATGGAAACACAGCTACTGTCTGAGAAGATTAACTGTGAGGAAGCCAGATGATTCAATGGAAGCATGAGTAACAGACAGAAAGAGTTAGAGGGTTGAATAACAATAAACACGGGTTTAAGATCCAATCTGTTAAACAATAAACGTCTTATAAACTCTGACTTTCAGCGAGTGTGGTTCATCTAACACATGAAGCAGGAAATATCTCCAGGATGTTTTGCTTCACGTGGTCAATAAACTATTAAAAAACAGAAAGTATACACTCACATTGTATTTGCAATAAAGTGTAGTATTTTTTATTTGGACAGACCAAACACCTGTAAGTGTACTCCAGTTTGCAAAATTGTAAAATTAAATAAAAATAAAGCAGAGCAAGTAAATGAATGTTAATGTTGGGAATACAAAGCTTTATCAAACGGGGTTTAGTTGAAACTTACAAGTTGGTCAGGCATTTAGTCCATGGAACGAGCCTGACGATGCGATGACCCTGAGACCAGGCAAAGTAGGAACCATTGGGTGCGAAGGCTACAGTCCAGGACTCACGCCCAGACTTCTGGTCAAATGGAGCAGCAGGGACCAGGAGTTCACCAACAAACTTAGCCTTACCTGATTAAACAAAAAGAAGTTAGTACGACACGGTCCAGATGGGTAACATCACAAACAACACAAAGCATGCGTATAATATTGTGTAACAAAATAATAAACTAATTATAATTAGTCTCTTGTAATGTTAGGCGAAGAATAGGAGTTTTTTTAATTACTCAAATGCCAGTGTTTATCTCTCTGGTGCTTTGCCAAGTTTGCAGTGTTGACTTTTCTGTGTGGCTCTGCAGCACAGCTGGCATACAGGTCGATCAACATTCTTCACCTGGATGTTATTTGGACTATAGAAGCAGGCTGCAGAGGCTCATGACTGGACCTACTTGCCATGTTAGGGTGGTTTTAGGCCTGCGGCAGCTCAGTGATGACTTCAAAGTTCTCATATCAGAGGGAACCATAAAGTGTTATTTGTTGTGTTTATCAAGTGTGTCCTGTTTAAAAACATTAAAGGAATGCATATAAAACTGTAACACCACCGTTCATGTTACAGTTTTAGACTGATACCATCTTATGTTGAAAAATGATGGAGTTACTCCTGTTTAAAATATTAGTTACGCACAACATTGTCACTCAGTGGAGCACAGTTTAGTCAGATGTTTACATACAGTAGTTTTGGTTCTGTTATTCCTGAGGAGTTTGTGTCTTCTCTTTCTTGTGGAGTCCCTCAAGGCTCAATCTTGGGCCCACATTTGTTTCTCTATCTGCTAACTGGAATTTGACCCACAAACATTGGGCCTCAAGCAAGAACATGTTTGTATTCTTATCCTAAATTTCTCTTAATTTTGTTCGTACAAAGGGTTCGTACGAACA